CTGATAGACACACCCCCTGCTCACTCATTCATAGCAGCACGCTTCTCCTCTGTTGTACCAAGCTGCTCTGCTCCTCGCCCCCTCCCCCGCTAACGTGCCCAGTGTCTCAACTGATGCCTGATGGATGATCCCCCTTTCACATGTATGCATGCATATTAACTATATTATGGCTCCAAGAGCGCCACATGCAGCACATTTCTTTCTCCTTCCGCTGTCTTTCTCCATGTATTTGTGTGTGTGTGTGCGCACGTTCATGCATCTGATTGCTTTTGTAATAATTTATCTAATGCGCTGTGAAGGCTGTTCACCAATCAATATATGAGGATGGAAGATGTGCAGTTTTGTTTTTGTTTTTTTGTTTTGTGCCACATTTATCCATTTGTTTGCGTTTCCAACAGGGAAAAGCATCTCCACCGACTCTTGTGTTCAACCGGCTTTTCTCAGAAATTAAGGAGGAGCCAGGACACCCCACCCTGGTCCATCCCAGGTACTACACCTTATTAACCCTAAGTCAGTTATTCCAGTAAAAGCTTTGAGGCTTGTAACGATCATATTTCTGATCTCCACTGCACCAAAGAGATCAAATTTCTCCAACAAAGATATAAAGCGGAGTCGAAAAGCAGAGAGCGTGTGGTATTCTGGTTAAATAAATGATATCACAATATTTTCCTGTTAATAAACAGCATTAATTAACCATCTCAAACTTAGTGCCACTTTTATTTGGTGGTTTTAGAGATGTAGCAAGATGAAGAAGATTCTTCCCTTGATTATTCGTTTCATCTTTGAAAATTTAATAGCCTACAGCAGGCTGCCTTTAAAACTGTGTGCTGCATAAATAAACATATTCTGTGTGTTTTCATATAAAAGAAAGAAAAGCAGGAAATCAACATGTGTGAAGAGTTTTCTGGTTATTAGAAAAGTTTTGGACTTTGTTCAAAAATCTGAAATGTCTGAAATTATGAATATTAACTTGCATAATCAATGAATGGAGCAGTTGTTGCCCCTCACATTGTTTTATTTTTCCAGTGTAGAGAACGCTATTAAATCTTGCTGAAGGAGACGAGTGGTATTCACTTTAAAGATGGTTTTAGTTGGTTGTGCTAGACAAAATTAAAAGCTGCAGTTATTTAAGGACTTATCGATACCTGAATCTGTGCCAGATGGCCTGGTGTTATCTGTAAAAACACGGAGAAGAGATAAGACTCTCCTTGCCAGATATTATAGGTGTATGTTTTTAAGTTTTGTGTTGGCTTCGGTTTCTTCCTCTTCTTTTAATTTCTTGTGACTGCACTCCCTCGTCTCCTCCTCCTCTCCCTCACTCGCTCCTTCCTCATTTCGTTTCCAAGCCCTCTGCATCTCCCACCGTCTCTCCATCCCCAGGGGACACCAGCTCTTGTTTAGATGTGGCTCACAGTAATCTGACCCAGATTAAAGCCACAGCTACATGTGACTGCCTGTGACTTACTGACTGCGTGGAGGCCTGCAGACTCCAGGCCAGACAAATTGGAGGGATTATAGCTCTAGTCACCTGTCAGCATCACATGACTGCTACATGTACAAACCAGTCAAGACCAGTTTGCAGTGTGTCTTTTGCATCCCAGAGTTGGTAATAATGCAGCGCCCTAACAGTTGGATGTCGTGCCAGACATCCGCAGCACTTAAAGTCGAATCTGGATCGCCGCAAACATCCATTAGTGCTACACTTGTCACATACAAGCCAGGCTTACATTATTCAGTTGCTTCTGAGCCGTTTCATGTAGAGGAGTGGTTTTCATTCAGGCGAGCAGACAGACCAAGCGTTGTGTGTCTGCTCTGGAAGAAAACGAAGCACAGAGTCCCACTGAGCTGCCATTCTTACCCTAGTTCACTGTTCCAGCCTCAGCCCTGTCTGGAGGGGGCTGCTGATGGGGGAGGGGTTCAAAGCTCCTCTCTTCTCCTCCTTTCTTTTTCTCCCTCTCTTTAACTTCCCATCACACCATCATGAAACAGTGTTGGTTTAGTGGCCTGGGAGTATCTCACAGCACAATCTCTCTTTCTCCCAGTTGCATCCACTACTTGAACATTTGTGATATGCAAAAGATGTGTTTAGGCTGAGATCCTGTAAACCTGTGGCAGAGATTTTTTTTTTTTTTCCTGCAGCCTTCCCAGCGTCCATTTACTTTGGGCTAGAGCAAACGCCACATTAGTTAAAGTAGCTGCCGAGTCAATAATTTGTTGGTACGATCATCGCTTCAAACACAAGATTATGTAAAAGGTGGCGCTAGTTCCTGTATGCCTAGAATAAAAGGGCAAAGAACAGATGCTTAATTCAGTCCTTACATATTTAGAAACCAGACAAATGTTGGTGAATGTTGGTGAAGAAAATTGTGAATTGATTCAAAATTAGATGATGTTTATTTGAGTGCTTAAATGCCTTCTCTTTTTGTTTCTTCCAGTTACTACATGTACACATATGATAAGATGGTGGCTCCCAATGTGTCACTGCGAAGGGAGGCAGAGATGAGCCCCGAGATGCTGAGCGCACTGCTCAAACACCACTACAGTCGCAGAGTGCTGGGCCACGACGAGCCGCCAATGGGTCAGTAATAATACACCCAGCAGAGCTGAATTATTAACCAGCAAAGACGCGTGTAAAGCTTTTTAATGGCTCAACATACATGCTATAACCACTTAAACACACAATCTGGTCTTCAAATTAGGATTAGAAAGAAATCCGTGACCATGTTATTGTTGCCTTCTGCCTGAGGGATTTGATGTTGGATAAGCAGAGCAGGAACATGTTTGTTGTCGTGTAAACGAGAAGAAAAATCTGATCAGAGATGATGTGACTTCCTCCGACACAAAGCTGCCAAGATAATTTGACTTCATCATGCTTTTTGGAAACCATACAAATCAGCCAAATAGAACAACAAATAAGATCATACCCTGTCTTACTTGACCTTCTTGTGAAATTAAAAGCAACAGCTGACGCTCTGTAATTATGTTCAAGTGAAAAGCTGAAAATGGCAGAGCCGATAATGGGCCAAAAGGCAGGAAATTGCTTCCAGTTTATCCATTTAATAACAGGCCTTAGATCTCCAGCAGTTAATAAGAGCTGCACATCTGCAGAGACACTGAGTCTAGCTGCAGAACCCAGCGTGAGTGGGCAGGTAGAGGAAGAGTTTCTGTACACAGATTGTCTTTCTTTAATTAACGGTGTCAGACATGAAGATGGAAAGTTACTTGGAGTTTGACTAATTAAAAAGCATAAAACTGACTGGAGACACACACACACATTCAGACTGTTTTAACAGTGCAGATTTTTTGGCTATAACAAGACAAAAAAAACATTTAGATGGAGTGTGATCTCTGACAAAGTTGTGTTCCACTATTTTCTAGCTGAAAGTTGTCAAACTAGAGCTCGTATAAACGCTTTCCACAAACACTCAGTACCAACGATATTTGGTTATTCCAGTAGTTTTCAAACATTTTTGTGTCATCAAAATTGCCCTAAAATGAGCCATATTCACAGCTGTGCAGTGTCATGTGACAAATTGGCAGTTCAGCTTTTATTTAGAGATGCATCTGTGGTATCTCAGGGGACACCTCGGTGTTGGCGAGGTGGAAACGGCCATGACCTCCTCGTGTGTGTTTTCATGTGTATGCTTTCATGTTTTTCCTGCATTAATGAGATGTGTGTGTACTGTATATTTTTATATAATCTACGTCTATACAGAGAGAGAGAGAGGATGAATCACAGGAATGCTCTCTGTATGCCATTATTTCACCACGTCTGACTGCCAAGCTGTCGCCCTCCCTCTCTTTCATTCCTCTCAGGCATTTTCCGCTTTTCTTCTCCGACCAGTCCGTCTCTCCTCCCTCTTTCTCTTCCCATCAGCTGTCGCCACATCCTCCTCTCTGAGCGGGTTCTCCGTTTGCTCCTGCACTTCCTTCTTCTGCCTCTTTCATCTCAAGCCTTCTACCCCTTCATCATTTTCTTTTTTTAAACATTTTCTCCCCTCATTTAATGCCTTCCTCCCCCTGTTATATCTGTGCCGTTCACTCTTCCTTTTGTGGTTGTCTCTCTCTCTCCTCTGTTTATTTCCTTTTGATCTACCACCAAATGACTCACGCCTGTTATTTGTGCACTTCAGAGCATGGATCTGGGTGTGTGTGCAGGCACACACATGCACTAGCCAGTTTGAGTCAGTAAATGATTGTCCTCTCCGGGTCCAACATGCTGTGTACAGAGCATCCCGTTTCCTGTCACGCACATGCTGCATGATCATTACCCTCTGTTCTCCTGATGTCTTTGTCACCATTCACCATTTCGCCTTCTTCATCATTATCTTCTTCTTGTTCCCCACCTGCTTCTTCATCATCATTTTTGTCTGTCTGCGAGCTTATGGTTCAAACACACTGCCATACCTAACCTACATTTGTGCACTTGTGTTTTTGTGTGTCACTGTGCCAGTTGGATCTTGTATCTTGTATTTTGTGAGTGAAGCTAAGCCCAGCAGAGCAGCACACTAGGGCACTTTCCGCAAGTGTTGTTGGGCAAAGAAAACAACTCTATCTGTAGTCTGTGCCTTTGTGTTAAGTCTCCTCGTAGCTTATGGGATCGTAAGATTACTGCAGAGAGGCTGCTTTTTTAAAAATTTCACCTTAAAAACACTGTTTTGTTTTGCGAGAACTCCACAAATAAACAACCTTGACCTCAGTGGATAAATGAAGTGCAAACGAATTTGGAAGTACAGCAAGTCTTTGTTTCTATCACCAAGCCTGAGGGAGATTCAAAAAAATAAATTTCTAACTCCACAGAATCAAAAATGTAAGAGAATCGTTAAGCACCGGTGCTGTGGAAATTCTGAAACTCACACATCACATTTGAAAACACATTAAGCATCACTGTTGAGCTTTATAGCTTCTTGGTGCTTTTTGTTTTTTAATTCATTTTGATGACTTTACACTTGATAGCATATTTTCCTCCAAGTTCTATTTCTTATTAGCCTACATAGTGGCTAAAGAGACATTGGGCACTAAACATCCAGAGATGCCCAACACCTGATTCTTTTTTTTCTACATCTCTCCAGCTCTCACATACATATCAATTTTAGTCATTATGAAACAAGTTATATTTCAAATTACATTGTCACGTCACAGTTGTCTCACAGGAAGCTGTCAGAGAGGTGCTTAAATAATTCTAACCTTTTTATTAGCCAGTCACCCACATTAAAACCAGGTCAGCTGGAACTGAACTAGAGATGAAACTAGTCTTCTCCTTCTCATTTAAGCGATTGGAATCAAATTAAATTACGATACTGCCAGAGATTACCACCCTACCCACTGTTTCCCATGATGCTCCTCCTCCCAGGCCGCAGCGAGGGAACAAGCCAGGGTTTGAACAGTGGAGGAGCCCACGCAGAGCAGCGCGGCTCCCACACATGGCCCTTTATTCCTCTCTATTCTGTGTGCGTCTGAGGGCAAACACATAGAAAATTTGTGGGCGAGTGTTTGGTTCGTCAGCTGTTGCCGAGCCATACTTGTGCGCTGTGTGAGTGCACTGGTGCTGAGGAAGAATTGCAGGCGTTTATGAGGTTGTGCGAGGGTGTTACTAAGCGCGGGTGGCAGTGTGCATTAGCACTGCTCGCACTTCCTGTCTTTCACCCACCATTCTTCTTCTTCTTTTTCTTTTTCTTTTTAACTTCTTTCTTCATCTTCTTCATCTCCCTCCTTCCTCAGATCTTCACGCGTCGCCTGCTGTCGCTGCTGGTGCCGGGGAGGCCAAATCCCAATGTGCTGCTGCTGACTCGGCCACTGAGAGGGAATGCCAAACCCAGGCAGTTTCCATGGAGATGAGCAGCCCAGGCTACAAGAAAGCCACCCACCTCACCGCCCACACCCCTCTTCCCCGTCCTCCTCCTGCGTCGCTGTTGTCATCGGTAACGGATGTAGCAGCTAAGGACGTGAGCTCTGCCACGAGCGGCGTTGTGGTGGCGGTGGGAGGGCTGGAGGACGACAAGGACAGGATTGTTGTGGAGATCATGCAGATGTACAGCAGGCAGCAGGAGAAGCTCAACTCCACCCTGCACAAGCAGCTGCAGCTGGAAATGGTGAGTCGGTGGTCGGAAAGATAAACGAGGCCGAGATCAACGAGCCGATAACTGTTTCCGCCCATTAGAAGTGTCCTTGATGTGGATGTGGAGGTGATCTTCACCTTCCACTAACCCCCTCTATTACTTCCTCCCATCACGTGGAACGTGTCAGTATCAGATTGTTCCACCAGTTTTTAACACAAGTCAGCAGAACAGTTCATATAAATCAGTGTTTCACTCGTTTAGCGTATTATTAAAGCCCTGGGTTTAATTTCAGTTTGGATGCATGGAAACGGAGTTGAACTAGATTATGGTGACATTCGCATCTACAGTTGAATTATGTTCTCCACTAATGGGATTTGGGGAAAATTGCATTTGTAATCTAAAATGAGATGCCACCATTAAAGAGTATTGGTGACAAAATGTCTGATGAAATAAAATGTAAGCAAACTGAAGCAAACAGCCTCCTTGTGGAGCTTCTGTAATGTGGCGGTAGAGCAGGTAGTAGTCGGAAGGTTGCTGGGTGCTCTAGCCTGCATGTTAAAGTATCCTTGCAAGATCCTGGACCCCCAAATTTCATCAGAGTGTGAATATTAGATAGAAAGACTATATATGCGAATCGGTCCATTTACCATTTGCAGGAGTCACTGAAATGTGACTTTTTCTTTGTGCCCCCAGGAGCTGGAGACTTTGCGTGGAGGCGAAGCAGCGAGGCTACGGGAGCTGAGCGCCGAGCAGCATGAGCTGCGCAGCGAGCTGGAGGCGGTGCACAGCGAGCAGGCACGGCAGCTCGGCCAGGCCCGCCAGGAGCAGCTGGAGCTGGAAACCCGTCTGGAGCAGCTCCGACAGCAGGCCTGCGCCTGCGAGCCAGGGGCGCAGCGCCAGCAAGAGGCCCACTACACAGCACAGGTACGGGCTTACAGGGGAACACATGCATGCACAGACTTTTGCATCAGAGTGAATCTCCGTGACATAAAGTGTGTTCACCGGCTTGCATCACTTTAACATATGGCGTTTTTATCTTAAAGACATTAAGATTGAAAAGCTCCAGTGGGACTGAAACAAAGCACACTTTAGCACAGCACTCTGCATATTAATATTAAAGTTGAGCTCGCTAAGCATTTACAATTAGTTCTCTTTTCATTTTCATCAGCATGTATGTACAAACATTTATCTTTGGATCTGTAGTTACTAGAGTCATGATTAAATCAGGTTTTTAGGTAAAATTATTTGGAGCTGCACTTATTAAACGTAGCAGTCAAATAGAAAGAATTTACTGTGATGCTGTGTGAGTCTGTGCGGAGCACATACTCAGACGTCTGTTTGGGTTTCAGTAGACCTAATCTTAATCTCTGTTACATCGGCCTGAGCTCTTCCACCTCCTACCTTTGGCATCAAGCTGTCCCTTTGTTAAGAGAACGGGTGTGCACATTTCTGTGTGGCTCTGAGAGTTCAACATGGGGTTTTCTTTGTTTGTTTTTTTTAAAGGTTTGGTGCACATTTCTTTGTTTACTGCTAAAAGGGGAAAAATACAATAAATGGTTACTCTGACTGATGGTTTAAGAGCTCTCAAAACACAACAGTAGTTATTCTGTCTGCACCACTTTGCAGTGTGTGTTGTAAAAGCCTCTGAGCCAACTATGTGTCTAAATGCAGGGTCTCTGTTGGTTTGTTTTTGATGGTTAACACCTGCCTGATTATGAGGATTTTACTGTTTTTTTTTTTGGCCTGTTGCCGGAACAAGCCACAGCAATTTGATGATGTCATGTTGGGCTTTAGTTAATTATTTGTTGGGAACATTTCTTTAAATATTTACGACCAAAGTAGTTTGCAGAGGAATGAACAGTTGCGGGCCTGCTAAGAAAAATCTGAAATGAAGACTGTTGACAGATTACTATTAGATGTGGAAATGTGTGAGAGTAATGTGGCTCGTCTCTGTGTCTCCTTTCAGTTGTCCGACCTGCGTCAGAGGCTGGAGCGGGCGGAGGCTGACCGGCAGGAGCTGCAGGAGGAGCTGCGCATGGAGCGGGAGGCGCGCGAGAAGCTGGAGCGCACGATTGCCCAACTGAAGCAGCAGATGGCCCAGTCTGGCACGATGGGAGGCAGCCCCTCTCCTCCTCCTACTCCCTCCACCGGACCCCCTAACGCCCACTCCCCACCCTGCTCAGAGGCCCCAGTGGCTGGCCAAAAGTAACTGCCGCCCCTCCGGGCGCCTCCCCTCCCCCCCTCATTCCTTTCCTCATCACCCGCCAAGTGTACAGACACAAAAAGATCAGCCCAAAGCTGAAAGGAGCATCACGTCTCCTCAGGCTGATTTGAAGTTGTGCATTACGCTCCCCTTTTGCTTAGTGTAGGACTGACTTTTGTTTTTGTAATTCAATGATCATTTAAAAAAGGAAAAAATGTTTTTGTTTTTTTTTTAATTTTCACTTCCCTCTCTTTAAACAGTATTTAAAGGTTTTTGGGCATGTATGTTGGGTTTAATTTATAGTTTTTACTGAACAAATAGCTGCTTCACAGACTGAAGACTGGTCCACTGAAGACCAACTCAATCCTTCACTATAACCCACCCCAACCCTCCCTGTTCTCCAATCCATATTCTACGACCCTCCCTTCCTGCTTACTGGTTTCTGGAGCTAATAATGACTTTGACTTTGAGATTTCGGATACAGATTCGCTCCTCCTTGAGGACGTCACATCACGCTACTACCTGGCACAGCAGCCAGCACTCCCGAACACATGGCGCCGCCTGACCCCTACTCTGTCTTTCTGTATGTAAAGCCCAAGTACCAGCGACCGCAGGAAACTGCACGGACATTTTATTACATTGTGTAACATGCGAAAACATCAAGTCTTTATGGGGGACAAAGACCTTTACTGTACAAAAAAAGAAAAAAAATGGACTTAATGAAAATATGCCAATAGTGATGCTGAACTTGAAATGAGTGTTTTTGGGTGTGATCTCTACAAGGTAGCTAGCTAGGGAGTAGTGTTTCCTGCACTACAGCTGCTCCTAGCGACAGACTGGTTTTCTCCTCTCTCTGCTGGGCCACCTGGGCTCTCCTGATGTAGACCAAACAGTCTGCTAGATGAACCGCCAGTTGCCCCGCATCTCCTCTGAAGAGCGCACACCTTCCATTGTCCTTTGCTCGGAAACTCCTTAACACTGTGTATTTTTATGTTTTTATTTTTTCACCTCTAGCCTGTCTATCTTCAAGATAGAAAGGAAACACTGCTGTTTCAGGCTCGGCTTGAAGAAGTGTTGTGCACTCCTTGTGCCCCCCCTCAGATCCCTCTGGGAAAGGAATGCGTCTGGACATGGGGGCCGGGCCGAGCCGAAAGAAGAAAGGCAGAGCCCTCGCGCGTGGTAGCTGTGCCGTGTTACTATACTTCATGCGACATCCTTACGTGCCTGCACACACTCGATCGCGTCGGTGCAGTGCAGGCATTCATGCAGAACAATGGCCCCAGAGTTCCCAGCAGATGATCAAAGCTGTAGTCTGCCCCTCTGCTTTCAGGCTTCTTTATTGTTAGCAGACCGTTGTATCCCCACCCTGCTCGCATGTGAGAAGTGGGTCGCAGGTGAAGGCAGTTAGTCCAGGGTGGTTTGGGTCCTGCTTTCCGTTATTCTGCCTGACTGAACAAACAGGACCGGGCAGGCAGGGAGAGGAAGAGCGGGAAGAATTGAGGGCCCAGAAGACTAGCGCACTCTCCCCCCACCTCACCCCTTGCGGCAGGCTGGGTGGCCCGTTTGCCGGTGGTACCGAAGGAGGCTTTTTTTCTTTCTTTTTCTTTTTCTTTTTTTTTTTTTTTTGTGCCGTCAGAATCGGGGGCAGCTGCCGTTGTCTGAGGCCCTCTGCCCACCCCCGAGCCAGACTGTACAGGATCTCCCAGCCAGCGCCTCCCTCTCTGCCCCCTCTCCCACAGTCACTCGCTCACACAGCCCGTGCATCCACCTCCTGTGTGAGATCAGCTGGGGGTGTGCAGCGTTTTTTGTTTTTGCTTTTTTTTTTTTTTTTTTTTTTTTTTTGTCAGAGCCCAGGAGAGCTTACAGACGTCCAGCCAGAGGAAGAGAAAACTTTTGTGTCAGTTGCCAGGCAAAGGAGCTTTTTATTGCCACTAAGAAGATCCCGGTTAAGCGAGCGAGCTTGTGCGTGTGTGTGTGTGTGTGTGTGTGTGTGTGTGTGTGTGT